GGACAAAACCCACACACGCTGTTGTAAGAACCCGCACCGTTAAATTAAGAACTCAAATAATTAATTATGAGTTTATAAAATAATACCATAATTGACGTAGAATAAATATGGGAAGACTTAAATAATTATTATAAGAGCTTAATAACACTGAAAGTCACTTTTCTGATGAAAAATGCAGATATTGGTTCTGCTTCACGATATAAATGCGTAGCGATGAAGTATCCCGAAAAATTATAAAAAAGTATGTATATATTCCTAAACTAATATTTAGGACTGGAATATCATGTTTGAGGTCATATAATGAGAAATGATGTCAGAACTAATGCCAGCTACTTATAAAACGCTTACCGGCAAAGTGCTGCGAAAATTATAATAAAAATATGATAATTCCTAAAAAAATGGCTAGGTACAGAATATGAAGTTTGAGATTAAAATTATTAGAGGATCTATTAGGATTAATACCGTTGGATTAATTAAGTGTGGATATGAATAACATGGTGCACAATAGCCTAGGTCAAATTTTGAGTTTCTCTACGTGGGTTCCTTGTGCTCTTGGCTTCCACCTCTCTACCATGTCCCTTCTTACTTGAAAACCTCTCAAAAATTCCCACCTTTCTTGTTGATTATTCCTCTTGGACCTTCTATACACTTGAGAGCAACCTTGGTGAGGGAAAAGGTTCCCCAATTCTGAGTTACAGCCATGGAGTTGTGAGAGTTGAGGGTTGTCCACTGATTTTTGAAGGTGAAAGCCATTTTCTTGTGCATTGTTCGTTCGAGAAGTGATTTTATGAATGAAAGAAACAAACTTGTGGAATCAAATTCGTGGCCTGGTAGTGGCAGAACTGTAGGGGGTTGTGGGAAGCTCCAAGATCATCCTTTTCCTCTGTTTTGAGAGCTTGGTATACATTCCCAACCTTTGTTCATGATTTTCTATGTTAAAGATCAAGTCTTGGCATGTTAAATGAAGATATTAATTAACCAACACGAACACTTGCTTAAATGTGTCTAAAAATGCATGCTTGGACGTCTGGAAGTGTTAAAAATGGAACCTTGAAGGGATATCTTCGCGAAAATGCAAAACTGCATTCTGTCGCGAAATATCCGGATATTTGGTTGGTGATATCCGGATATGGATATTCGGATATTGGGTTTGTAAATATCTGGATATGGATATCCGGATATTGGATTTGTGAATATCTGGATATTGATATCCGTATATTGGGTTTGTGAATATCTGAATATTGATATCCGGATATTGGGTCTGTGATATCCGAATATGGATATCCGGATATTGGGTCTGTGATATCCGAATATGGATATCCGGATATTGGGTCTGTGAATATCTGGATATTGATATCCTGATATATCCCCGAGGAATATCGGGATGTTCTGAAAAAAAAATCATGTTTTGAGCTATTTTACCCAAACAGAAGCGTGGGTTGAGTTTCTGGACCCTTAAATGATTGTTATGAACCTCTGGAATAATTTAATTAAGTTAGAACCAATAATATTAAAGGCTTATGGATCTGAGAGAAGCATACGGTCATTAAACGAAAAAGGAAACGTTGTCGTAATGCAATAAGCTTCTAGACTATGAATATTAATTATATTTCTGGTATAAACAGACCTTGATTCTACTGTTTGCTGATCTTTGAGCTGCTGTTTGGATCTTGAGCTTGATCATACTTCTTGACAGGTAAGTTTCGTGTTCTCAGGGTTAATCCCCATTTGTTTCACCATACTCCAAGTGGGAGATGGTAGTTTTATGTGGTATATATGCTTATCTGTTATTTGAGATGATGAAATGATGCACTCATATATATATATATATATATATATATATATATATATATATATATATATATGTTATGTGGTGTGTTACACACAAGATGGTAATCCTTGAGTGTAGTGTGGAGCTGCACAAGATGGTAACCCCTGAGTGTGGGTATAAGGTATCTGCCTTATGCTTCTTATGCGTGTAGCAGACGTGCATAAGCCATGCATTCTCTGGCTAGTAGACTTGTTAGCACACATGTATGATATATATATGTTGCTGCATCATCTGATTATATTATTACTGTTGAACTGTTATCTTTGAACTATTATACCGAAGTGAGCTTGGGGCGGAGGAACTCGTCGAGAACCCTTGCTTACTGAGATTTTTTTTTAGAGATCTCACCCCGTGTGGGGCACATTTTCAGGTACAATGTCCATGTGATAGATGTTTCCCGAGGCAAGAGGCCAGAGTAGAGTTTATTTGAGATTATTGTTGAACATATGTACTTTGTTTACGTCATAAGATATGGACGTTGGTCATGACTACGCGATGTAGCGTCATGACTTAGTATTTATTTATGACATTGAGGCATTGCAAGATTTTATTTGTGGTTTTGCAATTACATAAGGATATAAATGGATTTTATATTGATATGTTAATAAGGAAAAAGTGATCTTGCATGTTTTATAACTTAATTTAATTTAGCTTCCGCATTTAATTGAGTTGCGCTTAATACTGTAATATGATAACAATCCGGGTATACACAGGGTGTTACATCTATCATCGTCTTCCTTCCTTCTCTAAACCTAAGTGCCTAATCTTCTCACATCGCTGCCTTTTTTATATTGTTAGGCTGTATTGGTTCTGTTTGGTTCAAATATCTTTCCCACTTGATAGCAAGTGATTTTGATTGTTTCTCGATGTTGATACAAATTTGATGTGAAAAAAATTCAAAATTAGAACATTTTGTTTTTACTTCTCATTCTGTAATTGTATTTTGCTTTTTTTTTTTTATAAACTATTATGTAAAACAATTGTATTGTTTAAGCTGATGGAAGTTGCATAGTTAGTGCATTAATACTACAGGTTCATTTAAATAGACTAAAAACGAACCAATCCACGAGCCATATTTGAGCCAACCCGCAAGCCATTTTTTCAAGCCAACCCTAACCCAGTTCAGGTTGAATTGAGTTTTTTGACTCATTTTTTTTCGAACTAACCTTAACACAACTCATTTTTTTGGATTATATATGGGGGTTGGCCAGGTTGAGCTGACCCATTTTACCGACCTTAATCGGACCTTTGCATCGTCTCTTTTCTACAATCTCTTTCTGATGTACGCATGAGCGTGTTGTTAGGCTAAAAGATATCTTCATGCTTATAAAACATTTGTTTTCTTTTAAAATTGTAACTACATGTGTGAAATTGATAACCAATTGATTTATTTCGAAGATAATGTTGTCTGAGTGCCTTTTTGTCTTCTTTTTTTTTTTTTTAATATTTGTATCCAGACGTATCTAATCAGAATACTTTTTCTAGAAACTTGTAGTATTATAGTCGGTGATAAGTGGTCTTAATAGTTGAAATTAGAATCACAGTTGGGCCATTGCACCTTTTGCTTTTCCTTTTAACCCCAATAAGAAACACATGCATATAAAACAACGATATAAGTATAAGGCCATTAGAATTGATTTAATAGTAAAAAGTTTAAAAAATTTATATTAAATTATGTGTTTCATTTTCACCTTTAAATTATCCCCCCCCCCCCCCCCCCCCCCCCCCCCAAAAAAAAAAAAGCAAGAGACAAAAATAAAAGGGAAAAAAATTAAAAATCTTGGGAGAGACTTTTAAGTTGATCAAATGGGACCCCAATTCCCCATTTAGATTTTTTTTTTCCCAAGCTTTTGAAGCTTCCAGAATGAGCTCGAAAAAGCAACAACGAATTTCAAATTTGATTCCCAATGTTTATTGCTAGAGCCTTTAAATTAAGCCTTGCCCTTAGGCAAAATGGTAATGCACAGCCTTATTTTTATCAAGGGAAAAGTTCAAAAATCTCTCTATAACTTTTCTCATAATCATTTATTCTTTTATCAAAATTTTGATCTTATTTTCTGACTTAAAGCTTTTTTTTTATCATTTACCCCTCTAAGTGAGGGAGATAAATGATAAAAAAAACTTTAAATCAAGAGAATAAGTAATAAAAAAAATTTAAATAAAGATGTAAATGATTCAAAAAATTTGTGAGGAGGATAAGTGATAAATGAAAAAATTCATAAGAGATTTTTTTTTGAAGTTTTCCTTTTTATCAAATAAGATAAGCTACCAAATAAAAAATAAAAAAACTAAGCAAGAGGAACCCAGAAACACGAAAAGTGCGAGTTATCTATAAAGGTGATAGGACTTGCTCCTTTGCCAATAAAATAACTATAAAACTGAAAATAGTATAAAAATGTTACTTTTTATCATATTTAGTAAATAATTAATCAAATACTTGGTACAAAAATATAACAACAGTCAGGTGAGAATTTTTAGTTTTTAATAATGAATACAAATTCTGGATTGACTTGAATAATAAAATTTAATATTCCTACTTTTAATTTTAAAAATAATATTTATACATATAAAATAATATCTATGCATATAAAATCAGAACCAAATAAAAAGGTAAAATTCAAAATTCAGACATAACCTATAAACTTTAAACAGATAAAATTAAAGGATTCATTTTTTATAAAGTTAATTAGATAACTTTGTATAATATTTATCAAAACATATTATTTTGGGGCGAAAAAAAATCATGAGTGAAAATTATGGTATGATTATAATTATAATTTATTTCAGAGTTATAATATTTTTATTATTTTAATTTTTAATTTTTCAACCTAAAAACGACATTATCATTTGAATAAATATTAAACCAAATTAAAATAAAGAAGCTAAAAAATTTTCCGTCTTTATTAACAATAAATATTAACACAAAATAAATATTTTTCGTCTTTATTAAAAAAATAGGTAAGGGAATACGATTCTGTATTAACACAAAAGCAGAGAATGAAAAAAAAAAAAAAAAAAAAAAAAAAAAAAAACAGACACACTCCAAACGACTACTTAATCTTTTACTCTTATTTATAATCTGAAAGAGAACCAAAGAAGTAAGAACAATTCAGCTTCTCAACCTGTGAAATACCATCTTAATTGAGCTATTAAATTAAGTAGCAAATAAATAAAGGGTTATCTTTATCTCATATAATTTTATATGAGATAAATAATTCTCCTACACATATAAAAAGAGTTGGGTCTCATCACTCTTTTTTTTTTTCTCTCCTCCCTTTTATGTGTGAGTCCCACATATACTTTTATTTTTACAACATGAGATAATTTTTTTCCTACAAAATAAAAAAATATATCCCATATAAAATTCAGCATCCCGCATTAAAATAATTAATAAAAGGAAAAAGTATTTATTATTTTAGATAAACGCGCGAGAATACACCACTTCTCACTGTATAAAACGCTACAGATCATAAAATTATTGCAATCAAGGAAACCTGGAAGCATAACCACATTGTTCTCTGAAACAAAAACAGATCTGAGAAAAGCAGAACCACATTGTTCTCTGAAACAAAAACAGATCTGAGAACCTGATCACTTAGGTTGAGCAACGGTGGTTGGGGTTCCGAGGAGGCTGGCCTGCTGGAGCTCGAGGTCGTTGAGCTGCTGCTCGCGGTCCATCTCGATGATGAGAGGGACGACGAGGACGAGGAAGGTGGTTCCGGCGATCCACGTAGCCTTGCCGGTGCTTTTGAGGAGCTTCTTCGCTACGAAAGCGGCGTCGCTGGCGGCTTGCTTGCCGCGTGAGACAAGAGGGGAGCGTGAGATCTTGGTGATTATGGAGGTTTGGTCTTCCATTGAATGACTCTGCGACACCAAAGGAACAAGACAAGGAGAGTCAAAATTGCAATCACCAACCACTTAGGGTTTACCCTCTTCTAGGTTTTTGTAAATTTTATAGTTCCTTAGCGTTTGAATGGTTTTCCTTTTTTTCTTTTTCAAAAGTTTTTTTTTAGAAAAAAAAAATGTTTTTTCATCGTAAGTTTGTTTTGATATCTATTTAAAAAAAAGTATAAATAAAAAAAATAATTTAAAATTTTACTTTTTTAAAAGTTAAAATTTTTATTTTTTAAAAAATAAAAGTTAAAAATCATTTTTTTTTTTTAAATTCAATATTTTTTTTAAAATTTAATTTAAATTTTTATAAAAAAAGATTTCTAAAATAAACAAGGTATAAAAGCTATTTTTTTTTAAAAAAAAGCCAAATAAATGGATTCTTAATATTTATATGGGTGTTATTCCTATAGTGAATTATTCAATATTTTTTTGAGAGATTATATTTATAATTTTTTTTTTGTTTACAATGAAATGGATTAGATTGACAAAATTTAACCATTAAAATTTGGTTATAAAATATTGTAAAATGATTTGATTTTTGTAAAATATTTTTCATGATAAAGGACATGGATATTGTAAAATTTACCAAACTGAGTACTCAACCTCTGGATTGGCCTTATGTGGTGGTTGACAAAACTCAAAGACAAGTTCAATGACAGCGAGGGAATACCAGGTGATGTTTGAAGCTGATAGATAATGCATTCATTGTTGGGTGGGTTAAAAGTTAAAACTCTAACACACTATGCAAGGATCTACAACCTTGTCTTTAATTAGATAATGCAATGAGCCTAGTGTCCTCATAATGGACAAAAGCAATTGAACTTTTCTTTTTCAGTAATAGACAGCTCTTGTAAAACTCCAGATTTGTTTATGGATAATCATGGGCTTAAACAAGATATTGTTGCACATGAGGACAAATTCAGCTCAAATGTTCCTAATTTATTTTTAATGTTTCTATGTCATTATCTTCTAACATTGAAAACACTATTGTTTTGGGATTTGGGGGGAAATAAGAATATTTAGGAAAATTATATCACAAGAGAAAAATAAAATTTTCAAAATGTCATGTATTTTAATTAATTGCCAACCCTAAAAAGAGTTGTTTAAGAATTGTAGGAGAAACACATTTTTCATGATAAAGGACATGGATATTGTAAAATATTTTTCTTTAAAATGAATGGTTAATGTAAAATGATTTGATTTTTGATATTTATTAAAATATTTAGAGAAAATTTGTGGTTCTTCATTTATCCCTATATTATTTTTTTAATCACTTAAATTATCTATTTTATCTTTATTTGATTCAACTTGTTGCTTTTGTTTTTGCGTTTTCTTATAAGCGTATTTTCTAATCAACAGTCATATGACCAAAGCTCCATGCTTTGTTTGACATAAAAAATTGCAACATCAAAAGAAAACCATTTCCAACTAGAAATCTTCTTGTCATCTCGATAGCTGTTGCTATATTTGCAGAAATATAATCATTAGCATTCTCATTCAAGTTACTATTGCAGTTCTTGGTTCTCTCGGAGTGAATTAGTTATAGGTTCACTATAAGAAAAAAGTTTATTTGTGAATAAATTTCGTCATAAATTTTGTCACAAATGACAATTTTGACATAAATAATCAAATTTTGTCATAAATAAATTTGTGACACGGAAATTTGTGACAAAATTTACTTGCGACGTAAAAATTTGTGACAAAATTTCATAAAATTTTATTACTAATAAGATTTTTTCTTGTAATGACTCATTCTTACGACGTTGTTTTGATGACACCATTGGTGAACAAGACTCTCTCTTTTTTTTTCGAAAATAACAAGACTCTTTAATGCATAGTTCGGTATTAGAGCAATGTGAATTAGCCTTTGCCCACTTTTGGAGCAAAGTTTATCCACTGTGGAATTGAAGTTTGATCGTAAGTGTGCTTCGATGATACAATGACGAGTTTCTCATTAAATCGAGAAAAATTTAGCAATGAAATTCATTAGGAATACTAGTGTCAAACTCAGACAAAATAAGTAATGTAGTTTAATTTTTAACACTCTTACGGGTTGGAATTGGATGGAAAAATCATAGGAGAAGTAAGTGATTAAAAAAATAATATAGGAATAAATAATTTTAAAGAAAATGATAGGAGAGTTTTAAAGTTTTCCCAAATATTTAAATTCTTTTAATAATGTGACTTAAAAAAAATTACGGGCAAATTACTTGAATCTGGTCTCCCTTGACATCGTCTAAGGTGGCAGATGGTGTTGCTGAAGGTGCTTTGGAGTTGCTCCTTCATGATAGGTTTGTAGAAATTTCAGCACTCAAATCAGTAAAGTAGAGTAATACCAAAGGGAAAAGATTCATACCTAAGGACCTGGATCCGATATATTCTGAACAATCATGGAGAATATCCTAAAGTGTGTATGGTGAAGATCGTAGGGGAGGAACACTATCACTAATATTGAGATGAAAATATCTTTCGTATTTGATAGTACCGACAATTATACCAAAGGGAATAATTCGTTTACAAATTTCTTTTATAAATTTTTTTAAATTATACTATGTACTCTCAGGAAAACATGATGTAACTTAGTGTTCTCCCAGGGTTACATAGTATAGTTTGTAAGAATTTGTAAACAAAAAATTTATAAATATAACCCTCTCCATTTAGTATAACACTTATTTTAATTGAAAAAAATAACTTATTTAATAATTTATTTTGGGATTAATATTTTTTTTACGTTGTAGAAAATAAAAGTGTATGGGGTTATATAATTTTATTTTATAAACTATATTTTTTTTTTCTTCTTTTATTTTCATATGACCTTACATGAACCTCATATATTTTTATAATTTTTATATATGTACGAGATAATTTTATCTTCTAGGATATTAAAATCATCAAATTGATTTACTCTATCCATCTCTTTACTATTAATGCCACTTGAATTGAATTTTTTTATATTTTATATTTGTAAAGAAGTACCTGAACATACGTCATATGTAAGGATGATGTATTCAAGTATAAAGGAGAGATTATACGGTTGATTTTGCATATTTGCCCATGAATAGCTTGAAAATCATTTTGGGTATAGATTGACTATCCAAAAATTGTGCTATTATTAATTGATTTGGCAAAAAGATAGTATAAAATTGTAATGAGTCAACTTCTAGTTCTTCTCCTGGTTTGTCTGTGTCAAACTAAAAAGGCTTTGAAGGCTAGGGCTCTGGGTTATGTTTTGATGGGAGGCTATGTGAGTGAGATTCAGGAACAAATTGTAAATATTGATGTGGTGAATGAATTTGTAGAGGTGTTTCCTGACGAAATTCCAGATTTCCCACTGGCTAGGGAGATTGAATTCTCCATTGATATGTTGCTTGATGTGGGGCCTATTTCCTTGGCTCCATATTAGATGTCACCATTGGAATTAGCTGAGTTGAAAAAACATATTGAGGAACTTTTTGCCAAAAATTTCATTCGACCTAGTGTGTCTCCATAGGTAGAACCAGTTGTCTTTGTGAAAAAGAAGGATGAAACTATGAAACTGTACACGGACTATAGGTAACTTAATAAAGTTACTTTTAAGAATAGATATCATCTGCCACGATAAGGTTGATTGGTAGTTTATAAAGAAAGTAAGCTTTTGATGCAAGTTTTGTTGTGTAATTGAATGGATTGGCATGATAAGAAGTGTGATGATACAATTCATGTCAAGTAAAGTAAATTAGACCTAAATGGGATTATTGATAAAAATTAGGGGTCAAAGTATAAATATGTGAAAGTTTATGGACTAAATTGCAAATAAACAAAATAATAGCCTAAGCTTAATTTTGATAGTTTAATTAAATTCTCTATAGAATTTTGATGACTAGAAGTGGTCTTGGATTGATCTAACTATACATAGATTAAATTATAAAATTAAGTCAAAGTTTAGTAAAATATAAACCAATGATATGCAAGATCACTTGGAAATTCAAAGTAAGTAAGCAAATTGGACTAGTTGACTAACTTAGTGTTATTTTTACTACATAGTTTGATTTGTATCTTTGTTTTTCCTATGTATGTCACCCGATTATGTGTGTATGCTTGGACCAATCATATTGAATTAAAAAGGTTTACAAGTCAAAATTGAAAGAAAAGTTAGTAAACTATTGACTAAGTCAATTTTGTTGATTTTATACATGTGTGTTGAGTGTCTTCTTTCTTTATGGATTGTGCGCATTCTTTCTACCCATGTCTTGTAAGTGGGTTGAATTCAAGTGAGATAAATTGACCAATGAGAATTCAATTGAAAGCTTGAAAAGTTGTAGGCTATATTGATATACTAACAAAGTTAAGTCGTTTTATGGGAAAATTCACTATGTAAGTCGGTTGAACTCCCTTCTTTCCTCCTTGTATGCAGCCGAAGGTTCAAGTGAATTGAGGGAAATAGGTGGACCAATAGTAAGCAAGTCTATGTTGACAAATTAAAGAGACTTGGTAAGAAAGTTAATGAATTAACTAAGTTGACTTTGGTAAATATTTTACTACCAATTCGGTTATCTTTCTCCCTTGGTGTCTCACGCACGCTTCCTTTCTTCCTCTTGTCTTCTTCATGCTTCCCTTGGTCGAACATGTATCTTGGAAAAGGACAAGATTATATCTCTTAAACTAAACACTTTCAGGTTAAGGTTTCTACATGAAACTTAGAGTTTGAGAGCTTGTGATAAGGAAGACCTTATCTATGAAGAACAATTTGGGAGGAAGAAGGGAAGAACGAAGAACAGGGGAAGAGAAATGAATTGATTGTATTCTGATTAAAATGATTGATACCTTCTTTACATTCAGATACCCTTTTATACTTAAGGGTCCTCACATTTATTTACCCAAGGTTTATGACTAACTGTCCTTAACTACACTGTTAACCAACTAACAGTAACTGAATAACAGACTAACTACCATTCACTACATTACATTTCCTCACGATAGCGATGTGGAACTATCTTATTTCTTCTTACTCAATGTAAGAAATTGAACCAATGTTTGGGTTGGTCAGCTACAAAACATCTCAAGTATTGCTCCAGTGTCTTGTTCTCCACCTCTGATTGCCCATCTGATTGAGGGTGATAGGCTGTGGTTCGCTTGAGGATTGTGCCACTCAATTTGAACAGCTTCATCCAAA